CCATCTGGGAGAGGGAAAAGAGCAGCTCCAGGGGAGGCAGGAGGGAGGCAGGAGGAGGCGCCTCCTTTCAAAAGGGCAGCCACAGGGGTTTCTGGGGCCAGGAGCATGAGGCAGGCCACACTTCACGAAGTGGCACCCATTGGGTCCACTATGACCCTCAGCCAGTGGTTGAAGGCAAAGGCCCAGCAGGCAGCCACTCGTCTCATCCCCAAGACAATCACCCTGCTCAAACTTCCACTGTCCATCTTGGAATCTCAAGCGCTCTGCTGGTTGCTCTTTTTTATTTTTATTTTTTTTTGCCCCTGGTATGACCTCCCCTCATGGAGAATTCTCAGTTCTAGAGTGCTGCCCTGGCTCTATGACTCTGTGAGGGAGGTGGTCCATGACCATTTTTCACGGTTACAGTGGCGCAAGGGGTGCTTCACAGTGGACCTGTGGAGCGGAGATCAGCACGGCTACCTCTCGCTCACAGCCCACTGGTGGCAGCCAGAGGACTTGAGTGGTGGCAGGGTATCGGCCACAGGGGGAGGCCCTTGCCCTGCCCCCAGGCTACAGGTCCGTTCTGCTGCAGGTGCAGCACATGGAAGCTCAGGTGAGAGGTAGGAACATCACTGATGAGCTCTACACATCATTAATGATGTCATCAGGACATGCTTAATAACTGCCCCAAAGGCGATAAAGGCCATCACATAAGCCAAAAGCAAGACAGATAAAGCAAAATACAAGAAAGAAAAGCACAAGTCCTGCCAGAAAACACAATATGCTTCTTAGCTTCATATTCATGCCAGAAGAAATGTCATTTCATAGAGGATCCTCTCCTGGAATGTATTACTTGGTGTGGTGCAGAGCGTGTGAAACATCTAAACTTTGAATAGCGTGGTCATTAAAATTTAAAGGTTTGTAAAGAACAAAGTCCCCTTCTTGGATGCACACCTTAATGTGGTGAAGGGCTTTGAGTGTGTCAGTGATGCTGCAAGCGATGCCTTGAAGAGGCCAGACTTGATTATGAGCTGAACCCCCAGCAGGGGCACCCAAGGCAGAACAGTCACAGCTGAGATGCTATGTAGCAATCATCCTGCTTTGGCTTAGGTAGAAGATTATTGGCAGGTACAGTGGGGTCTCTACTTAAGAACTTAATCCGTATTGGAAGGTGGTTCTCAAGTTGAAAAGTTCTTATGTTGAATCTGCATTTCCCATAGGAACGCATTGAAAACCATTTAATCCGTATCTGCTCTTTTCCGTCCATAGAAACTACAGTGGAACCTCTACTTAAGAACTTAATCCGTTTTGGAACGGTGTTCTTAAGTTGAAACGTTCTTAAGTTGAAGCAAAATTTCCCATAGGAATGGACTGAAAACCAATTAATCCGTTCTGTCTGTTCTTTTGTTATGTAGAGGTGTGTTCGTACATTGAAGCATTAGTTCCCATAGGAACTAATGCAAAGCTGGTTAATACGTACTCTACCACTAGGGGGAGAATTTTTTTTAACCTAAGATGACCTAAGGTTAAAAAAAGAGCAGGAAAGGTTTTTTTTCCTGTTCTTATCTTGGATTTCTGTTCTCAAGTAGAAGCAAAATTTAGCAAATGGAGCTGTTCTTAAATTGGATTGTTCTTAAGTAGAGACGTTCTTAAGTAGAGACCCCACTGTACAATGAGAGCTGTTGGAAGGCAGAGCCAGAGATACTAGAAGGGAGGGGTAAGTTCTAGTCTAGTTAGTTCAGTCATAGACAGAGAAGAGAGAAAGAGTTTTAGGGGTTTGAGGCAGAGAGAGAATGTTTAAGGAATGATTAGTCAGAGTGTGACCTGTATTAATTAAGATAGAAGAGATTAAAGTAAAACACTGAAGCTTTGTGTGACTTTAAGAATGTGCTTAAGAACTATTCCTAAAACAATGTGTAATCAATAAACCTGTTCCTGTTTAAAAGTTCAGTACTGAATGGACCTCAGTCTTTCATAGGAAATATAGGTTGATAAAGAGATCAACTGGTGGCGGTGTGTTAAAGGGTGTGTTGGGATACTCAGGTGAGCTCTGTGTTTGGTGAAACAAGCAGGGGGCATGGGATAACCATCATAGCATCCACCCTCTTCAAGAGTAGTAACAGCCACATCATCAGAAGAGAATGGATAATTTCAATGGTGATGGGGGCAGCAGTAACTGGGCAGCAACGATAGCTAAAGTGCACGTTCGTTCTCCAGAAGAATAAGGGGCATGACTGTGAGTGGTATTCTGGTGACCATAGTAAGTTGGGCATGATGTTTTGGACTGTGAGAAGACCCACCCCTGCAATCTTTCTCCCTCATCGCGTCAAAGTATTTTTTTACATTTTAAACAAAACAAACTGCTAAATTTAGCACTAGCTCATCTTAACACTGTGTTGATGTATTAATTTAGCACTAGATTACCTCTGCTCGGAAAGAGATAAAAATCATTATGAAATAGAAACAACTCTAATGAACTCTCTTTCTGTGATATGTGTTTCTACCTTATGGAGAACTTTGGAAAATTTACCCATTCCCCTAATCCCATGCAACATTTTAAACAGCCCACCAGCTTTACAATGAACTATAAAAGGACAGCCAGAATTGGCAGAGGATGGGATCAAAGGAAGGCATACTGTGAACTGTGACACAGATCAAACCACAATGGATTGAAGAGTCACTGTAGACACTGAAATAATCCAGTCTTCATGTGATCACCTAATCTCACTAGAAGTGCAAACAAGCTGCAAATCAAGACACAGCAAAGCCGAATCATTGTAATTCAGCTTACAAGTGTAGTCAAAGCCTTCCTCTACTGAGCTTAAGGTGATCTATATTCCCAACTTTTTTATCTTCACACCAATTTTGTGAGGTAGATTAGTTGAAACCAGTGTGACTAGCCCAAAGAGATCAATGAGTTTCATGGCCTTGGGGATCTAAACATGTCTTCTGAGTCCCCATTCAGCACCAACTCCTCCAACACAATGAATATTCCTTCTGATTTCCCTCTTTTTAAAAAAGAACTGTCCTGTTAATGTCAACACAAATCCAGTAAACTATCATCATAATGCAGACGTGGGATGGGTTCAAAATGGAACTAAAATAATTCCTCATGGCCAAATCCAAAACGCATTTGCATGTCCTGTATCCTTCTTGTTTTTCACTGATTTGTAAGACTGTTAATTTTTCCCCTGCCCATTAAGAAAGAGGTAAACATTAAAAAGCTGTATTTAAACTGGAAATCCACACTACTATGACAGTGTTATCTATAGTTTTGGAAGAACTAGCTCTGTTTGTGTGTGCAAGCAAATCAGACAAAATCTGAAGGAGAAAAAGAAAAGAAAAAGAAAAAAAAGACAACAGTACATCTTACCTTAAGGACTATTTTATTTTAATGTGAGATTTTGTGGATCACATCCACTTCTTTGGATATAAAGAATAAAATGAAATATAGGATCAAATACCAAATTCATAGCCTATATCTGTTTGCTGCTGTCACTAAACATGGTGCAATTACATACATGACTACTAGTATTATCAGCTTAATCCTATACAAATGGTTAAACTGAGAATGTATAATAAGAAAAGAAAACGTATTGTTGCACCTTTCTGCCTAATAGATTTAGATGGCTTTTAAAAAACAAATTTTAAAAAAATCAAATATACTGTAATTTATCAGAATAACATTTAAAACAATGCCACAACACTGTTTTTCTTATACAGCCTCAAGAAAGGCTAAGGTTACTTGGGAACGTCAGGAAATTACCTGAAAATAAATTCCATGGAACGAAATAGAATCTACTCCTGGGTAGATACTTTTAAGAGCGCGCTATTAGAAGAAACTAAGCTTTAAACCGACGTAAAAATATGTTAAATAAATACAGAAATAAATAACTCTCCCTCCGCAATTTAAAAAAAAAACAACACTCTCCTCTTCCTGGTATTTAACGTCGGTACACAGAACTAAAACCCCAACCGCCACCCGACCTCCTCCTTCACTTTCGGCCCTTCAAGCTGGTTTTGCGACAGTTCTAGCGGCGCGGCGTGATGATGTCATCGCAGTGGAGCCGCGCCGGAAAGAGTAGTCGGGCGGGACAGATGTGGTCGTGGAGGTGTTGCTTCTTTGGCTGCACTTCGTGGCTTGAATCCGTCGACATCGGGGCTCTCTGTGGCCGTGCAGGTGAGAAAGAGGCCCAAATGTGGGGCCGGGGATAGTTCATGGGACGGAACATCGGCCGTTTTCCCTTCGCCTGGCCGCGTCCGGATGCAGGGCGGGCCTGGCTGGGCCTAGCTGCCTCTCCGCGAAAGGGAAGACGCGGCCTCTTCGGAACGTGGCCCCTGTGCTCTTGGGCCGGACCCAAGACAGGGACTCCTTGCCTGGCTCCTGCGCTCGCTCGCCCGCCCGCGGGTCCTGTGCTTCTTGCAAATGAAAGTGCCGGCAACTGAGGCCTGCTGGCATAATACGGAATCCGCCTGCCAACGTCATGCTCCTTGTTGGTCAAATCCTGTGGTCTGAAGCCGTAGTCCTCGCAGATGGTTTTTTATGAGTTGTCACCAGAGTGCATGATCAGGGATCGGTATGGTGATTGATGGTCGTTCGTCTTTTCCTCTCTACCCCTCGGGCTGACTGCATCATCAATAATAATGTGCTGTTAAGTCAAATCAGACTGATGGCGACCCTTTTCAGGTAGAGAAGACAGACAGGTAGTTTACGATTCCCTTCTGTGGGTGCCCTGGGGCCGTGCTCTGTGGGTGCCCAAGGGCTGTGCAGCTTGTCCAAGGCCTGTGCAGCTTGTCCAAGGCCACACAGGCTGGATCTGCTCAGATTGAGGCACAGTAAACTCCCAATTTTTGGCTGCACAGCTAGATACCTAAACCACTGAGCTGCCCAGTCAGCAGATTACATCATTACTTGTATAAAAAAACTAGCAGGAATAGAGAGGGGAGAAGTTTCAACATCAGACTTTTAGGGCTGATTTTCTTTTAACAGTCACCTTTTTTTTACTACATTCGATCCATAGAGAGATCTAAAATGTTGTACAGACGTTTATTAATACATTAAGTAGGTAAAGATTCCCCTTGACATTTAATCCAGTCATGTCCAACTCTAGGGCGCAGTGCTCATCCCCGTCTCCAAGCCATAGAGCCAGCGTTTGTCCGAAGACAGTTTCTGTGGTCACGTGGGCAACGCGACTATGTTGCTACCTTCCCACCATGGTGGTACCTATTTATCTACTTGTATTTACATGCTTTCGAACTGCTAGGTTGGCAGGAGCTGGGACAAGCGATGGGAGCTCACTCTGTCGCATCTTACGACTGCTGGTCTTCTGACCTTGCAGCACAGAGGCTTCTGCGGTTTAACCCACAGCGCCACCACATCCCTGACTTAAAATACATTAAGTACTTTATAGCAATAGAAGATGAGATTAGGTAAGTTTTATTTGTCATCCAGTCTCGTAAATAAGCCACAAAAGTTGCCTGCAAAAAACATTTGCTGTTCTGTCAACCAGTTTACTCTTCAGTGTAGATTTCCAAGCACAGGCTTACATGCAAGTTCTGGTCCCCAATGGCTGTCATAGCTTCAACTGAATAGCTTAGTGGTTTAAGGCAGGAATTCAGTTTTTTTTCCTGTTCTTATCTTGGATTTCTGTTCTCAAGTAGAAACAAAATTTAGCAAATGGAGCTGTTCTTAAGTTGGATTGTTCTTAAGTAGAGACGTTCTTAAGTAGAGACCCCACTGTATCATCAACAGCAACCTTGTAATTTAACATTGCAAACAAGAATGTGGGATGATGGTGGTTTTCATAAAGGAGGTGTGTATTAGATGCATACAGATTTTTTATTACAACTTAGAGAGTGGCCAGCCTCTCATTACCTGAGTTCACTCCCAGCAGATTCAGGTGGCTGACTCAGCCTTCCCTCCTGAGTAAACTGGGTACCCAACTTGCTGGGAGGGGGGACAACAATGCACAGCCTGAATAATTATGTTGTAAACCACCTAGAGAGTGCTTTAAGCGCTATAGGGTGGTGTACAAGTAACATCCTTTTTACTCATAAAGTTCTGACTCTGAAACTCACTACAATGGTAGAGCTTCAAAATGAATTCATATTGACAAAGTATTGTTAACTGGTTGTTGTCATGTGCCATCAAGTTGCATCTAACTTGTGAGATATTTAAGGAGTGGTTTTACCAGCACCACCCCACCCACCCCCACGAGCTTTCATGGCTAAATGTCTAAAGGCCATCATTGTTTTTGGTTACCGGCTTGGAAAGATCAGGAAACCATTGAAAAGTGGAAAAGAGTCTGCTTTTTGACAATAAACATGACTATCTCCAAATTGCTAGTGTTCATCTATGATGTTTCACACCTTCATACTGAAACAGAAGCAGTGAACCAAGCTATGGTACTTACCTCGCACTAGACGTCTTGTTGCCAATATGTTGCTTTATTGATCCCTTTAAAAGCTTTTAGTTTCTTAATGCTGTTCAGTTCAGTTTCTTTTAAAATTTGATTGGCAGTTCTTTTTACCTTGGAAAATCTCTTTTAAATCTGCAAGGGAGCCACCACATGGTCAAATAAACATTTAAACACTGCCATCAGTCCCAGAGGTTGGTTTGAAGAGGCCAGCCAGCAAGAAAAAGAGTAAGGCATTACCTTCTTCCTTTCTAGGAAACGACCTACCTCTCTCTCTAAAGGATTTGCCTCAAATCAGAATATTGTTGGTGTTTTCATATATTTGTGTCTTAAACTTAACAAAAATTAAAACTTCCATAGTTCTTCTAGTCAGTTGCCAAAACAGACATCAACTTACAGCTGTAGTTTCTCTGTAGTCTTCTTTTTCCTACCAGTGTGTGTCTTTGCAGGCTGGATGGGATAGCTTGAAAAGAGAATTAGCATTTTCCTGCTGTAATTAAGCTTTGGAAAAATATTATTTAGAAAGCACACAAAGAAGTGACAGACTTGGCCAATAGAAATTCTGAAATACTTACCTCAGATATTGGCTTCCTATGTTCCAGTCTTCTTCAGAATATAGCATTCTTATTCAAGAACTGGAAAATGGCAATCTTGCTATTATTCCACGTATTCCATGTATTTTAAAATGAGCACAACATTTTTGATCATCACATATATTTATTGTATCCTTTAGCTCTGTTCTTTGACCGGTATGGACATATGAGCAAAAGTGCCATTTAAGTTGTGATCATTCGGTTCATTGTTCCTAGTTTCAGAGAAAGAAATTAGAAGATTGGAGAGCTTACCTGGCTAGCTGACATGCAGAAAACTCAGTGGGAAGATGAGTGACTGTTTTGGCTGTAGCTCTTTTTTTTGTTATACAAGTTCTAACAAAATACAGTGGACCCTTGACTTACAGACGGCTTGACTTACAGACTTTTTGAGTTACAGACTTCTCTGGCCGCAAAATTTAGGTTTGACTTGCAGACTGAGATTTGACTTACAGACCAGAAAAAAACCAAAATGGAACAAAAACGGCCTGTTACGGGATTAATCGGTTTTCAATGCACTGTAGCTCAATGGAGACTTGACCTACAGACTTTTTGACCTGCAGCCACCGTTCCAATACGGATTAATTCTGTAAGTCAAGGGTCCACTGTACTGCCTGGACTGTATTTTCCCTGCCTTCCCTGAACCTTTCTTGACCTAAGAAAAAAAGAAACAAAATATCCTCCTCTAGTGGTTGAAGGAGGAATAGCAGCTTCCCATTAATTTCTATGGACGGAAAAGAGCAGATATGGATCAAATGGTTTTCAATGCATTCTTATGGGAAATGCAGATTTGACCTGAGAACTTTTTGACTTGAGAACTGCCTTCCAATACGGATTAAGTTCTCAAGTCAAGATCCCACTGTATTGCAACACCTTTAAGAAAAATATATTTATTTCAGAGTTTGAAGAAGTAGATTGTAATCCATGAAAGCTCCCACTGAAACAAATCTGTTAATCTTCTGTAAAGTGCACTAGTTTATTAGCTAACTGTTGGGTAGATAGCTCTGTGAGTTAGGTGTCTGGCTGTGGATCCATAGGTTGGGATTTTGATTCCCCATTGTGTGTCCCAGAATAAAAGCCAGCCTGTATAGCCTTGGGAAAGCTACACAACTCCCAAGAGTGCCTGTAGAAGGAAGGAATGGTCATTAATGTCTGAGTACTCTATAGCTAGAAAACCTTGAAAAGGGTTGCCATAAGTTGGAATCAGCTTGACAGCATGCATTTGGATTTCATTATTAGGTCAGGTGGTATTGTGGGGAAATTGAAATATAATGATCTGTCAGCATACTAGGAAGACCAGAATGCCAAGCATGTGGCAGACTGTCAGGTGGGATTACAGGAGGAGGAAGAATCTGCTTGTGTGAATTCAAGGGAGTTTGACAATAGAGTATTGGAGTTTAAAAGTTTTGCGAAGCCCTCTCTAGGCTGGCATCTAAGCCTCTGCCGACTCCTAACATTCTTGGGCTCATAGCAAAGAATTAGTAATACTGTTGCTGCTTGTATCCCCATTATGTCTTGGAATATTAGGAGTGGAAATATATGTACAGTGGTGCCTCGCATAGCGACGATAATCGGTGCAGCAAAAATCGCTGCAAAGTGATTTTGTCACTATGAGATATTAAAAAGCCCATAGGAATGCATTGAAACCCCTTCAATGCGTTCCTATGGGCTTCAGACTCACCTTTAAGCGAAAATCCTTCATATGGCGGCCATTTTCTCTGCCTGGTAAGCGAGGAATCCGTCCCAGAAAACAGCTGGTGGCCATTTTTTTTACCCGATAGCCATTTTGAAAACGCCGATCAGCTGTGCGAAAATCTTCGTTTTGCGATTATCGGTTAGCGAAGCAGGTAACTGATCATCGCAAAGCAAAAAAAACCCATAGGAAACATCGTTTTGCGATCGCAAAAACTTCTTCATTATGCGATTTCTTTGTTAAACGAAGCGCTCGTCTTGCGAGGCACCACAAAACCGCCTAGAGTGGTCGAGTAGACCAGATAGGTGGGGTATAAATCAAATCAAATAAATAAATAAATAAATTTCTCATGCTACTTGAAGATTCAGGGAAGCGCATCAGTTCCCTGAGACATAGCAAACCTAGCTATAGCCAATAAATACTTCTCTGACTTCTGTCTCATAAAGTTAAAGACAAGATTGGTGGCACCAGGAGCTTTCCTTGTGGATTTTTGTAGGAATTTGGTTTCTTCCCACATGTTTAGCCACAGCCTTTAGAGTAACTTCTATGCATTGATTCGTTGCAAACTGCAAAATAGAGAAATTAAAAGGTGCATTTGCTCTTAGTTTACATATTTTAATCACTTTCAGTGATGGTATCAATCATTAGACATCACTTAAAAGTCATATTGTCAAATCATGTATTTGTAATTTGTAATTTTCTTTTAATTTTGGGGGGGTGTCACTCAATCATTGTATATTCCCCTCAGATTTTATTAAGTCGTGAGCCCTGGAAACTAATTTTTGTATTTATACTGCTGTATGTCTGAGATCACTTTTTCCATGGTATACAAAGTATAGATCAGCAAAGAAAAATAATAGAAAATTAATAATAAAAATTATACTCTTGTTTTCTTCTTTTCTGGTGCTTGAGTCGATCATATAGATTTCTGAAAAAGAAAAATTTAAGATCTGACCGTTTTCTTAAATGACTTTGTTCCAAAGTATCTATGTGAAACGCTGGCTAATCCTACTTGAAGAAATATTATCGATAGATAGCTGGTTTTCATAGACTCTGTTTTGTGCTATCTTTTTTCTCCTTAGAATTATAGAAAATGGCAAAGTTTGTGACACCTGTGATCCAGGATAATCCCTCAGGATGGGGTCCATGTGCTGTCCCTGAGCAGTTCAAAGATATGCCATATCAGCCCTTCAGCAAAGGAGATCGGCTTGGAAAGGTGCTTCTTCATGTGGCCTTTGCACAAAAGCTCCTATAACTGTTTTATCACATTATCTGCAGTTTTATGTCTCAGAATCCTGCTTTTCACAGTTCTCTTACCATGTGCTTCAGTGTCCCAGTTCCTGTGCCAATTTTCATAGGGCAAAAACGAACTGAAATGGATATATGTCATGCATATACAGTAACTGCTTTTGCAGGCGAAACTGAACACGCAAAATGCTATTTTCAAATAGTTTTGTTTGATATAAAGCTTTGTTGAAGTTGCCACAGAGATGGGCAGCTCATCTTACCTGTCTGCTGATCAGTTTACTGGAATGTTGCATGGCCTAGTTAAACTTAATTGGAACAGAAAATAGGAGTTAGTTATACAGGATGACAGTATAGGATTACGTTTTGAGATAGACTATGGAAGACTTTGGTTAATACTGGCTTTTTGTCTTCTACTACTATAGGGATGGTGCAATTCATAGACTTGAGTCAGGGGGAGGGTCATTGAACATTATCTTCCATGTTACAGTTAACTCGTAGGAACTGACACAGGAATGTCATCTTGGGCACCATCTCTGTGACTCTCAGGATAGTCACATACTGAGAGTATTGAAACATGTGAACTGGTTCTCACCACCAGCAGAGAAAGAGCTTGATATGAACATTCCATCTGAGAGAGCTCTAAAAGTCATTTTTATTGAAGTTATTGAAAATCAACTCTGTCACAAATCTCTGAATCTTATTGATTATTCGTTATATTTATTTTGGCTAGGTTGCAGATTGGACTGGAGCTACTTATCAGGATAAGAGATACACAAGTAAGTAAAGTATGAGTGTTCCTGTTTGACACACACCATAAACATGAATATCATGTGATGGTGTGCCTGTGAAATGACAAGCAGAGGTGCCATGAGTTTCTGTTGGGATAAAGGGATTTCTTAAGTGTTTTAGGGCAGATTACTGTCTTACGGTCACCATTTGTGGAATAAGCATTTTGTTGTCCCTCTGAGATTTTCTGGGAAGGCATATTATAGCTCCTGCTTCATCGTTTTGAGACACTGGCATTAAATAAATTTTTCCCCACAATCCTTTCTTTTGCCTAACAATAATTAGTACTTAAGCATATGTCTGGTATCTGAAGCAAACAGTACTGCTGAGGTTTGATTGTACAAATATTGATGTCATCATCTAATTATGCTTCAAATATGAAGGAGCCCAAAGCACATGATAATCTCTGTGCTGATTACAAAATAAGTGGGGTTTTGTTTCCTTCCTTGAGCTTGAAAAGAAGGAATCCCCATCTTCCTTTTGTAATAAGCCATAATGTTCACATAGCTCTTCATATGAATACAAATAATACAAATGCTGTTTTTAGACTTCCTGTCTTAAATTAAGGAACCATTCCAGTCCTAGACCTGCCTTTCAAGGGAGTCCCAGCCTTGAACGCTAAGGTGATAAAGATAATTGTATTTCCAGATAAATATTCATCCCAGTTTGGTGGTGGAAGCCAGTATGCCTACTTCCATGAGGAAGATGAAACTAGTTTCCAACTGGTGGACACAGCACGGACACAAAAAACTGCATACCAGAGGAATCGCATGAGGTTTGCACAGGTATTGAAAGCTTAGATTTGAATTCTGTACTGAGTGAGTTAGCTATCTCTACTTAAAACTCTCAGAGAAAATAAGTAGGAACTCCCTGTCATTGATTGGCAGTTTTGCTTGGATATGTACCAACTGGAAATACAAATTGCCTTTCAGACAGCTTCCTGCAGGACTCTCTGTGGTGTCAGTTGTAAAATGGTTGATCTTTAGCTGCTGAACAGTATTAGATTTCCATTCATCTTTTGTTTTCTGCATTAGCAGTTCATTATGGCTCCTGCCAATGCTTAATGATGTTTTTGTCTATATGCTCCATGCCTTGTAACATGTAATAGGAATAAATGGCTTGTAGGCCTGCCTTCTGTGGTCCCTGGAGTAATGTTCCAATGGATTGTAACATGTTTTCTTATTTACATGGATGTGTCTTTTCAGAGGAACCTTCGGAGAGACAAGGACCGCCGCAACATACTGCAGTTCAACCTGCAGACGCTGCCTAAAAGTGCCAAGCAAAAGGAGAGGTAAATATACCATGTCTGTTTAGGCAAACATTGGATCCTCGGCCCCCATGGAGCTACCGTATTTTTCCGTGTATTAGACGATACTTTTGTCTAAAATCATTACACTAAAAATTGAGGGCCATGTTATACATGGAAGTAAGCTGAAGAGAGAACAAAACGGCCCATAGCTTGCCTCTGTACACAGGCTTCCTCCAGTCAGGATGCTTAGCTTCCTACAGTTAGGAGACTTATGTAACTGATGTCAGCTGATGCTGTACAAACCAATTGAAACATACCTCGTTGGAGGTGGAGCCTGTAAGCAGTTGTCAGATTCAACAGGGACTTGTAATGTCCTAGTGTTCTGAGCCTGGAGGCTGAATACTCAAAACTGAGTTAAGATTTCTTAATTTTGGGTTAGAAAGGGGGGGAATCTTATAGATGGAAAAATGCAGTAGTGTGAAACTGATTGCCTTTCCT